GGGAGCAGAAAGCCTCATCTTTCTCCCGTGGAACAGCTGGTGGTTTTGAACTGCTGACCTTGCGGTTCACAGCCCAATTTGTAACCGCTACGCTATCAGGGCTCCTAATATATATATGTAATTTTTAGTTTTGTTCCACATTTCCATTTTCCATATATATAAATAATTTTTTGTTTTGTCCTATATTTCCAGACCAAAAAAATAGTACCAGATTAGTAGTATGTGTGGCAGTAAAGACAGAAGAAAAAGTTTCTATGAAAGCCATTTGATAAATTGTGATATAGAAGCAAGATATACTGGGGGCTTTAAGATTGTAGCGCTTCCTGTGGCTGGAGTGACTCAGGTGTCCACTTTACTCTGCTACTTCAAAATCTAACTGTTGGGAGTCCAGAAGAACTAGCCTCAAATTTCAGTGGCTATGCTTCCTTTGGCTAACTACCTCAATTCTCTAACACATACCTGCTACATCTGCAAAATGGAGGTGATAGCTGTATCACAAATTATAGGGCTTAGAATTCATAATTTATTCTTGTAAACATGATGTTTTGAAATCACTCTAATATCTTGTCCTCCTGAATTGTAGCTGCAAAATTTTAATTTGTAATAATTTGGCGTGGATGCTGTGCTTCTAAACATATTGCCATACGTTCTGTGGAGAATTAATAACCACCTCTGTGTTTCTCATATGACACTAAGATTGTTGTTAACTGCTGCATGTATCATGTCTTTTGGAATGATCAGCACAAGCCTGGTGCCTACGGGGTAGATTTTAAACATGTCCCAAATGTCCATATTTTCTGACTGCTGTATGTTTCATCATCTGTCACATCAATTATTCCTCCTTCCCTCACTTCTCTTCCTCTTGTCTTTGGGCTCCATTATCTATTGCAAGATCTTAGAGAACTCATGGACCATCAAGGAAATGGTTGTGGAGGATGGCAGGTCCAAACTTTGTGGGTTAGGCATTAGATTGGAGGATTCTCCTTACTTCTGTTGTGACGAAGGGGCTGATGAACACACATCAGCAGGTCAGAAGACTGGCTATCTCTTACAAGGCAACAGAAACTGATGAATGAAGTTAGTTGATAGTTTGTTGACTCAAGTCCTGAAACAAAGAGAATAGAGAATAAAGGACCAGATGCCAGTCCAGAACAAGAGAAAGAACTTTGCCAGAGCATTTATATTTATATTAGATATAGACCAGACCCTGAAGGAAACTAAGGGAGATCGCGTGAATCACGCTCTGAAATAAAATAGGGATTCACGATGTTGTTGCTTGTTGTTAGGTGCCATTGAGTCATTTCTGACTCATAACTACCCTGTATTTCTCACAAAGAGACAATAAATCTTCATGGGAGCAGAAAGCCTCCTATTGCTCGAACTGCTGACCTTGCGGCTTCAGTCTAGAGAGCCACTGTGCTCCCTAATTTAAAACACATCTTTCGTAATCCTGTTTTATTCATTCCAGAATGGGACCATAACCACAAACATATGGACCAGGACTTACAATATATCACAATAGGAAGGGCTGTAGCTAGAAGGGCCACAGTAAGTAATTCACTGTATTGTAGACCACCCCTTGGCTCTTTTAGCTGTTGGCTCTGTTGTACTTGTAGGATTAACTTCCCCTTCCCAATTGTTTTATCATTCCCAAGTAATCACTGACAGTTAATCCTGCAAGTGGACAAAGGAGTCCTGAGGGTGGGATTATTCAGGTAGCCATTCAGATCTGCTGCAGGTATCCATTTGGTCTGCTAATTTTCCAAAGGTTTGTCTCATCCTCATTCACCTGCTTAGGGGTTTAGTAGTTGATTGCTAACAGAATCCAAGTGATGTTTTTTAGGTTTTAATATTTTATTATAATGTGTGTGTTTATATATAAATATAAAGATTTATTGTGAGTGGAGTGATAGTTTACATGGGAAAACATCAGCTTTACATTCATCCTATCATATTTCATTTCATTCTAATGATTACAGTCCCCTCCATGAATCATCATTCAACAACATTTGCTTCCATTCCCTCTGTTTATTGTTTTATATTTTTTATGTACACCAAAACACTAGGAATATATAACCATTCAAACAACCAAAGGGTATATCCTGCAAGCCTACCCCTGGCCACCAGCACACAGCCCCTCTTCCTCCTGAAGTCTTTAGTCCCCAGCTTCTCCATCTCTCTACATCACCGTCTCTGCCTCCGTCTCTGGTGTCACTGTGTCTCTGGATAGGGTCCCACACTTGGCTTTTCTCCCTTGATAGTCCCAGGGTTCTCCTTTCCTGCTCTGCAATATGAACCACTCCCCTCCTTTTGTTACAAAAGGTCTACCTTTACATTTGCAACATTCACAATCAGTCCTGATAGCAATTACTCACTATTGAACTACAAGAGTCTTATCCCCATCTCCTTCCACCAGCCCCGTCTAGACAGATTGGAAACCACTCAGTGGAGATTCTATCTTCCCCACACCCTCTGAAACTAAACTCCCTCTTGAAAACTTGTAAGCCAGTCACTTCATGCCTTTTAGCTGCCCCCATTTTGGGTAGCCAATGTCTAAGTTGCTCATCCCTGTCAACCCTGTGTACAGAGGGGGTGAGAATTTTCCTTGCTGTAAAAATTCATTCCCTCTTTTAAGCTACTATATTCATAAGTATAGGTCAAGTTCATAAAATGGCATCCTCATATTTTATGATACATTAGAAATACTCAAAGTTAGTTTTTCTTTTTTAATTATCTAGAATTAACACACCAGTCTTCCTAGACATTCCTGCTATCCCATATTTTGGATAAATTCTCTAGGAATCTTAAGCTAGTCCTGCTGTGCTCCTGACTTTCTTCTGTAAGGTATTCATAAGGCGACTGGGTAATGTGGATCAAGTCCTAAAAAATGGAACCCCTTTTTTGTTATAAAAAAGAAAAAGCCTGCTCATACAAGTGTTGGCCCTATGGACTTGACATCATTCGTATCAGGCACTATATTATGGGCATGTTCTTGATCAATTTATACCTAAACTGAAAGTCTGAGATTAAGTTTAAAGTGTATATGAACTTCTAGTAACCTGCCAGTCATTTACTGATTATTCAAATAATGTGAAAATGAATTGAATATGACCTAACTTCAATAACTGTGATCAGAGCTCATCTAGAAGAAGAAAGAAGAGGAAAAAAAGAGGTATCTGATACAATTTGATAAACTTAACCTACACATATGGTTGTAGTAGCTCAAGAGAGGGAGCAAAATCTTTACAGCGAGGATCATTCCCACCCCCTCCATACACAGAGTAGACAGGGATGGGCAACTTGGACATTGGCTACCCAAAATGGCGGGGGGGGCTGCTACAAAGGGAAGATGTGACTGGCTTACAATCTTTCAAGAGGGAGCCTAGATTCAGAGGGTGTGGAGCAAGGTAGAATCTCCACTGAGTAGTATCCAATCTGTCTGGGCAGAGCTGATGAAAGTAGATTAGGATAGGTCTCTTCTGGTACAATAGTGAATAATTGTTATCATGACTGACTGTGAGGGTTGGAAATGTAAAGGTGGACATTTTGTAGCAAAAGGAGAGGAGTGGTTGATTTTGCAGTCTAGGAGCGGAGGTTCCTGGGACCAGCAAGAGAGAAGAGCGGAGAGAGGGACCCTACCCAGAGAAGCAATGATACCAGAGATGGAGGCACAGATGATGATGTGGAGAGATGGAGTGGCTGGGGACTCTAGACCCAGAGAGGGAGAGGGGCTGTGTGCTGAGGACTGGGGACAGGTTTGCAGGGTATACCCTTTGGTTGGTTGATGATGCATGGAGGAGATTGTAACCATGGCAATGGAATGATATACGATAGGATGTATGTAAATCTAATGTTCTCCCATGTAAACTATCATATAATTCACAGTAACACATTTTAATAAAATGAATTGAAGTAGATGAAATATTCATTTTCATAGAGAATACATGTTCAGAATTACTTTTTCTAATATGTACCTCTGGGTATAGAATTCTTTATATTGTCTGCTAGAATATTATTGAGATGAATCCTTTGTGCAACAAACTATGGGAAAATTTTAAGTCAAATTCAATGATTAATATCTGTGCTATAAATTAGACAAATATATGTCGTAATGCCTAGGCATGGATTGTTGTTGTTAAAGTGCCGTTGAGTCGGTTCCGACCCATAGTGACCCTGAACAGGATTTCCGAGGCTGTAAATCTGTATGGGAGCAGAACGCCTCATCTTTCTCCAGTGGAGCAGCTGGTAGTTTCGAACTGCTAACCTTGCAGTTCACAGCCCGATTTGTAGCCACTACACTACCAGAGGCAAGGGATTAGATAACTATATTTCTTCTTCTTCTGTAGTTGAGGAGTCCTATGGCATTGTAGGATAAGCACTGGGCTGCAAGGTCCATTTGAACTGCAAGGTTGGCAGTGCTAACTACCAGATTAAAGAACAGAGTGAGCATATTTCTGCTGATTTTTTAAAAATTATTTTTACTTTATATTGTGAGTTGAATGAAGGTATACAGACATGATCATCAGTTTTATATTCAACAAATCACACACTTTGTTTCATCTCAATGACTGTAATCCCCTCAATGCAACAACAGTCATCCCACTTCCTCTCTGTGGTTCCTATTTGCATTCTACCCTCCTTCCCATCCCTTCTCAAGTTTGTTCTTAGGAGAAAGTGTTGCCATTTTGGTTTGTAATGAATGATCATTCCATGGTGGACGTACCTTACTAGTGTTATTGTCCTCACTTTGTACCACTCTACTGCTGAGCTGAAAATGGGGCCATGAAGGTGAGTTCCTTTCCAGACCTGACAGGGAGGTGGGGTTGGGAGCCTTAATTTATGGGGAACCATAATCTTAGGTTCCTCCTGTCTCTTTGTGTTTAGTAAAGGTTGTCTTATTTTTGTTTGATAACTTTGATTGCTGTTCCATATTTTCTCCCACTCTATCCAGACGCTCTCATGTGATCCCTTTCAGAGCAGTTGGTAGTAATAGCTGGGGACCATCTATTTCTTCTGGTCTCAGAAATTTGGGAGACTGATGTTCCCATGTTCCACTTGTCCTTCCAAGCCTTTTCAATTCTTGTCACTCTTCTTTCTTCCTCTGCTGAATTTTTCAATAATACACACATTTGGAAACCTTTTAAGTTTACTCTAGTTTTGTCTTTGTAATAAAATCAGAAAGGACCCCCCCCAAAAGAAACCCCAAAAACCAACATCAGAATTCCATGCTACAAGTTTTTAAGAGTTGCCAGTCATTACCTATCCTAATTTTCTTTTCCTCTTGCCTCATAGTTTATCATCTATTATGCCTGTGAAATAAATTACCTACTTACTACACTAATTTAGGAGTACTGGTATCGTGCTGGGATAATGCACTGGACCGCAAGGTCATTTGAACTGCGGAATCAACAGTTCAAATGCACCAGCTGCTCCTTGGAAACCCTATGCAGGGTCACTAAGAGTAGTAACTGACAGAATGGCACTTAACAACAACCCTAATTTAAATTGAGTACAATGATATTAACTTAGACATAAAGGGAGTTGTCTTAGAAACACAAATTCCTCCACCTGAAATTTTTGAATAAAATCCTCAAACCCTGTTTTCAACATTGCACTTCCTATGGCCACTTTAACATTTGTAAATTTAAGATTGCTTTAAAAAACGACCCTGAAAGTGGTAGCTACAATGTTATTTTAAAGGATATGTTAATTCTTTTTCATGTTCTTAAGGAGTATTGGTGTGGCGCTGTGGGCTAATGTGCCAAACTGCAAAGCCATTTGAACTGCAAGGTTGGCAGTTCAAGCTCACCAGCTGCTCCTCGGAAACCCTATCCAGGGTTGCTATGGGTGAGAACCGACTCAATGGCACTTAACAACAATAGCAAGGAGTCCTGGTGTGCCACTGTGGGTTAATGTGTTTGACTCCAAAGTCAGTTTGAACCACAAGTTTGGTGGTTCAAGCTCACCAGCCCCTCCTTGGAAACTCTTTACAGGGTCTCTATGGGTCAGAACCAAATTGATGGCACTTAACAAGTGTTCCTGGGTATTGTAGTGGGTTACATGTTGAACTGCTAAATACAAGTAAGTAGCTCGAATCCACAAACCACTCTGTGGGAGAAAGATGAGGTTCTCTTCTCACATAAAGAATTACAGTCTCAGAAACTCTATATAGGGCCACTCTGAGTCGGAACTCCATTCACGGCACCCAACCACCACCACCACCAATGTTCCTGCTCCTTTTACCCGTATCCAAGCAAAGCAATTATCACAGTTCTTCTATTTTGCTCTTTGTCCATTCCTATGCAGCTCCTATTGGTCCACACTTGTAAAGTTGTTAAGTGCCATCCAGTTGGGTAAGATTCACGGTGACCCTGTATAGGATTCCCAAGGAGCAGCTGAGGTTTTGAACTGAAATATTAGTGGAACTAAGTCTATGTTTGACTTCTAGTCAGGATACTATAAAGAAGATTTGGCCAATGAAATAACATATATTGTATTTAGAATTACTCAGACACTAGTGGAAAGGGAACTGAATGAAAACCTGCATTATCAGAGTTATAATACATTTATTGTTGTTGTTATTAAGTGCCATTGAGTTGTTTCTGACTCAGAGTGAACCTGGATAGGGTATCTGAGGAACAGCTGGCAGATTTGAACTACTTCACCATGTAGTTCTCAGTTCAGTGCTGATCCTAGTTCTACTCGATTCTAAGTCATAGAGACCCTGTATAGGGTTTCAGAAGCTTTTAAGCCTTTGTGGGAACAAAAAGCCTCAATGTTCTCCCACAGAGCGGCTGGTGAGCTCGAACTGCAGACTTTGTGGTTCACAGTACAGTGCTTAGCATATGGAGCCACTACGTTCCCACATACATCAATAGCCAGGAGATATTTTGAAAGAATGGCAACTTCAATTTATACCAAAGAAATCGGAGTGCATTTATGTTGTTTATGTTTTCTACATTTTCATTCTATTATTGTATGTTGTTGTAAGTGTCATGGTATTGGTTCCTACTCATATCAATGCTGTATAGGGTTTCTGAGGAGCAGCTAGTGGGGTTAGCCGCCCAGTGCTTTTCCTACAGTGCCACTCCCTCTTTAAACCACTGAATAAAATGTATTGACATCCTAACTGGTGACCACCACGTTGGTCACCTTTGAAAAGAAGAAGTGAAGGAAAAACAGAAATGAAGCAGCGAGCTAAGCCCTACAATGTTCAATAGACTCCCGAGAACCTAGGTGGAGACCTAGTTGGCCAGCAGTGTGGCAAGACCTGGGGACTCCTGGACACAGAGTCAGTGACATAGTCACAGAGGACTAGAGTGGAGAGTGAAGCATCCAGCTGATAAGAAGTTAGGGGAGATGCACAAAAACACCCACACTTGCAGTTAATACCCACTTGACCTGGCTTTGATGGCTGGATGATCATACCTTGACTAGAGGAAGAAAGAAGAGGATAAAAAGAGTAATCTGATACAATTTAATGAACTTGACCTACACCTATGGATGCTGTAGCTCAAAAGAGGGAACAAATCTTTACAGCGAGCATCATTCCCACCCCCTCAGTACACAGGGTAGACAGGGATGAGCAACTTGGATATTGGCTATCCAAAATTGGGGGGATACAAAGGCAAGAAGTGACTGGCTTACACATTTCAAGAGGGAACCGAGATGCAGAGGGCATGGAGGAAGGTGGAATCTCCACTGAGTAGTATCCAGTCTCTCTGGGTGGGGCTGATGAAAGGAGATGGGGATAGAACTCTTATGGTACAATATTGAATAACTGCTATCAGGACTGACTGTGAGGGTTTGAAATGTAAAGGTAGACATTTGTAGTAAAAGGAGGAGAGTGGTTGAATTTGCAGTCTAGAAGCGGAGGACCCTTGGACAATCAAGGGAGAAGAGCGGAGTATGGGAACCTACCCAGAGAAACAGTGACACCAGAGATGGAGGCAGAGATAATGATGTGGAGAGATGAAATTGTTGGGGTCTCTAAAACCAGAAAGGGAGAAGGACTGTGTGTGAAGACAGAGGGGCAGGCTTACTGGGGGAAATACCTTTTGTTGGTTGATGATGCATGGAGGGGATTGTAACCATGGCAGTGAAACAATAGGATGAATGTAAAGCTAATGTTCTCCCATGTAAACTATCACATAAATCACAATAAAAGGTTTTTAAAAAATCTGTTGACATCACTGTTTGTTTATTTTTCAGGGAAATAACAAAATCTCTCTTGTTGCAGCTCCATATGGCATGTGCTAGTGGCTACAAAGAGGTGGTGTCTCTCATCTTAGAACATGGTGGAGACCTCAACGTAGTAGATAATCAGTACTGGACCCCACTCCATTTGGCTGCAAAATATGGCCAGGTAAAATGATTTGAGAAATGATTTAAAAATCATAATTTTGTTTTAAAATATTTAAAGAATATACGTGCTGTCTTGCAATTTTCCTTTGAATGGGATCATCTTAGTGAGCAATATTTGATGGTTACAGGAAAGTAAATATTTACTTTTAGAATGATAGAAACATTTCTCAGGACTACTCATAGTCTAGTGAAAAGAATTGTAGAAATAATCAAAATATATAAGCGTTCTTCACTGAATATACTTAATATAGTTTTGTTAGTATGATATATCCTTTATAACCTTATAGGTGTATAACTCTATAATAATCCTGGGTATTTTCTCCATTTTGTAGCTACAAAGCAAAATTACATATATATATTTTTCCTATTAATTGTATTTTAATTAATGAAGGTGTTTTCCCCTGATTTTATTCTTTGACAATAGCTATTTTGACTAGAATTTCTGTTATATAGAGGAAACAAACTTGTAACTTTTCAATAACTTACAGGATGAATGTAACACATCACAGTTAATGTAATTTATCAGTTTCAAAATCTATTCATAAAAATATGGACTGTATTTTGTGTTAAAGAAATTCTGGGTGATACTTGTAGAAACAATAACTAATTTTACATATGTATGTAAAAACCAAAATTGAAACATGAGAGCTACAATGTCAAAGTCAGGAAAGAAGAAAATTACTTCTGTATTCAGGGAGTACAGAGCTACAAAATGCAGTCTGTAGGTTTTTGTTTTTAATGAGATGCATAAGTACATCAGACTAGGTACAACAAGCAGAATGTTTTCCTGAACTTATCCAGAAATTCCAAAAAAAAACATGATACGGCTTACTAGGGGAAAAAAAAAAAGTATGCCCTAGTAATTCACCCTGCTTCAACACTATCAACATAAAGGCAGAAATAAAGAATGCTATTAATACCTCAGAACTACTAGTATAAGACATCAAATTTCTAAATCAGTGTATTACAAAAGTGAACACTTCCTCTTTTTCTTCTCTTGTCTACATTTAACTAGAATCATGTTAAAAACATTTGATAATGAATGTGACACTTCAGAGCTACTACCAGAAGGAGTAATTCATAATTTCCCTCCCCTCCCCCTTCCATCCCTGCGGATTCAAGAGAGAGGGGTGGGGACCATCAAAAAACTAGGGTCTCTTGTAGATTTGCTGCTGGTCCCCAAAAAGGTGGCATTTGCTGCCATTGCCACAATGTTGGTCCACACCCATTAAAACATATTGTCAGCAATTCCAACATTTTAGAGAGACAGTGATCCCTGTTATGACACTGTAAGATAAGAAGTAGACTGATAGTCACAAGGTTGGCAGTTCAAACCCACCAGCGGCTGTTCCTTGATAACTCAATACAGGGACACTGTGAGTTGAAACTGACTTGACAGCACATATCAACAACAATGATATTTTTAGAGATATTCATAGAAACTTAACTTTCTTTTTAGTATCTTACAGATATAAATACCTTTGTGGAGAAGCTATTTATAAAGTATGTATTATTTGCATTTAAGCCAGGAGTGTATATATTGATTTAAATTGTGCCTTATAAATAAGTAAGCATTTCTAAGGAGACAAAAAGTAATGCATATGCTCTCCTGCTGGCTTCTGGAAATCTGTTCCCTGAATATGGGTAATTTCGTGCCTGCTCTATACCTGATGTTCTAGTTAAAGGACACAATGGGATTCTACTTACTGCTGCTCTCCCCCCTCCCTGATAGACTACTAACTGGGGCCATAAACTTAGTGCTACTTAAGCCCCACTGGAATCATAACTGAGGAAACCAAAAAAATGTCCTCTCCCAGCTATTTAGTGTGCTTACCTAACTGACTAGTCCTGGTGTGGCACTGTGGGTTAATGCATTGGGCTGCAAGGTCAGCTTGAATTTTCGGTTGGTGGTTCAAGAGTTACTAGCCACTCCTCAGAATCCCTATACAGGGTTGCTATGAGTAGGAGCTAACTCAATGGCACTTAACAACAACAACAAACATCCTGATGTGGCACTGTAGTATAAGCACTGGACTCCTAACCACAAAGTTGGTGGGTCAAACCCACCAGCCACTTTTAAGAAATCCTATACAGGATTGCCATGAGTTGGAACTGATTCCAAGGCACTTAACAACACCATCACCAACAGCATTCTGATGCATCATGCCCTCCTTCTGAGTCCCCTGAGGGGAGAGCTGGGGTGGGACCTGCAGACTTTGGCTTGTTGGATCAGCACTGGATGCTGCCAAGGTTGCTGCTTGGTCCCCAACATCAGTTCCTTGTGTTACCGGAGTCACTCTGAAGGAGTTGCCAATGCCCCGTGGGTTGTAACAAAGGAAAGACTTTATTGTGCTGACACGTGTGGCTCAGTGGATTCTTATCCAGAGATTGAGCCCCATTCATAGGATGCACCGTTGGCTATATAGTATTTCGGTCCTTGGGGCGTTACAGAGTGAGCGAAGGAAGGTATGTAAAGAACGTGTTTGCTACTTCACACATACGGCAGCGGGAAGCGAACAGCAAGTTGGTAGGTGGGCAGTTTATAGAAGCAGAAGCAAGTAAGCTTTAACCTTGGAGGTGAGTCTGCACCAGGAAGAGGTTAGCTGTGATAAATATGTGGGGCTGAGGAGATCTGTTGTTCAGCTCCTGGAATGTGGACTCTATCCTTGGAAGAAGCTGTGTACTCTGGGAAATGGGACCCAATGCTTGTCTCACTTGTAAACCCTATACAGGGTTTCTGTGAATTAGAACAGACTCAAAAGCATAACAACAACAACAACAATAAATACCAGGCCTCAGTGAGACCTGAAGTTACTAAGTAGTAGGGAGAGGAACAGAGAGCACCATGCCCCCTTAGCTTGTCTGAAGGACTATCTCCTCACACTGAAGGAGAAAATGAATGAATGTGTTACTTTCGAAGATGTTTTGCTTTCCCAATGAATGACTGAGCAGATATGTGAAGAGCACGGGAGTGAACACTCACACATTTTGAAACAGGTCCACTTGGTGAAAATCCTTGTTGAGATACCAGGAGATAGTTTGCCATGTGTAGGATAATGGTGAGAGTTTGAAATAAAGATTCCTAATAAACTTCTCAAAAAATTGTACACAATCGAAGAGGAGATTAACCAAGGATAAAACATAGTGGGGATTACAATATTTCATAACATAATAGGAATGTTCCATAAAAGGAGTCTGACAAAGAATGATCACAGCCAAAGGCAGAGAATGAAGTTAGCTTCCTGTAGGGAAAGGAGGGATGTATCAGTTGTTGTAGAATACAGATGTAGTTAGAAAGCATGTAATGTTGTGAAATAAAGGTAGATCTAGTTGCTTAATGGGAGTCCTAGTGTGGTGCTGTGGGTTAATGTACCAGACTGCAAAGCTGTTTGAACTCAAGGTCGGTGGTTCAAGCTCACTAGCTGCTCCTCGGAAACCCTATACAGGGTCACTGTGGTTTGGAACTGACTCAATGATACTTAACAACATTTGCTTAATGACAAATCATAATTGAATCATAGAGTTCATATTGATGGTTTGTAGATATCTTTGATCCTAGGTCTGAAATCCTTCATCTAGTTCTCAGAGTTTAATACCTTTACTCATTACAATGTAGAATGTATAATAATGAGTATATGTAATAATGAGCATGGGTATATGTCATTTCATGTAAGATATAGAAATTCTCAATTCCTGTGTATGGTGTTTTTTTTTTTTTTTGGTCTTCTAAGTTATATTTTATTGTGAATTGGTTGTCTGGGTTAATTTACCATTGTAATTTTCTCTTAATTAAATCAAACTAAACAATCTCTTTTAGCTTCCTGAACCAGTAATTAAACTTCCTCCAAATTCTCACTGCTGTTTTTCAGCCTTTTAAAGAAGCACCTTATGTTATCTTCAAGGAATTAATTTTGCTAAGTTTAATTAAATTGGAATACAACCATCCAAAAACTAAGTATAATCTGTCAAGAAAGCAAGCGTATTTTATTAGGAAAATTTGCTGCAGAAGACCTCTTGGAAGTATTTAAGAGCAAAGATGTCAGTTTGAGGACTAAGATGAGCATGACCCAGCCATGGTATTTTCAATAGCTTCATTTGCATGTGAAAGTTGGACAGTGAATAAGTAAGACCATGGAAAAATGAATGCATGCCAAAGAGTATTGACGGTACCATGGCATGACAGGAGAACAAACAAATCTGTGTTAGATGAAGTATAACCAGAATGCTCCTTAGAAGCCAAGATGGCCAGACTGCCTGTCTCATACTTTGGACATGTTATCAGGAGGGACCAGTTACTGGAGGAAGATGTCATGCTTGGTAAAGTGGATGGTCAGTGAAAAAGAGAAAGACCTCCAAGAGATGGATTGGCACAGAGGCAGAAGCAATGGGTTCAAGTTGTGAGGATGACACTGGGCTGTGAGGTTTTGTGCATAGAGTCGCTGTGGGATGAAACTGGTTCATGGGTACCTAACAGCAATAACATATTCAATAACTTGTGTGAATTTACATTTTAGCTTCAATATACCTTCATAAGTCATATATAATTGCTTTGACACATACATCCTTGGAAACCCTATACAAGGTCACTATGGGTCTGAATCGACTCGATGGCACTTAACAACAACAACACACACATAGAGTGTGAATACAGTTTTCTTAAACCAGTGATAGCTTTGTTGACTATAAAATTCCTTTAATAGTGCACATGAATCATTGCTAGGATACAAAGTCTACCTATTTGTATTTTAAGTAATTTAGTTTAAGATCTTTTGTGAGGTATAAAAAAATCATCCTGAGTTGTTGTTGTTAAGTGCTGTTGAGTCGATTCCAACCCATAGTGAACCTGTACAGGGTTTCCGAGGCTGTAAATCGTTATGGGAGCAGAAAGCCTCATCTTTTTCCCGTGGAACTGCTGGTAATTTCAAACTCTTGACCTGGAGATTAGAAAGCCCGATTCGTGATCATTACGGTACCAGAGCTCTTCTATGCCGTGTACAGAAAATGAAATTAACATTGGCCTGTTTATTTTCTGACAGAACTCACTGATTTCCAATGGAAAGCACTGGGACCATATTAGCCTTAGGGAAGGAAAGGAATTCTGCATGACCTTATTAAACAAATCGGAGAAGTTTCCCCTTTTCCACACAGACATGTTTTTGTTTACACCCTTGAAATAAAAAGGAATCATTTCTGTTACTTAAGATGCCATGTATGAAGTAAGGAGCTCTGGTAGCATAGTGGTTATGAGTTGGGCTGCTAACCTCAAGGCTGGCAGTTCAAAACTACCAGCTGTTCTGCAGGAGAAAGATAGGGCTTTCTACTCCCATAGATATTTATAGCCTTTGAAACCTGATGCAGGGTTGCTATGAGTCACAACCGACTCCATGGCAGATAACCAACCAACAAATAACTTCCTTATATTCTTCAGTGTTTGTGTGGTCACAGTTCAAGCTGCAGAGAGGCAGTTTGTTAAGAAAATGCACAAAGTTTATCTTTGGCATTCTGCCGTACCAAATTAATTTAATTTGTGTGCAAAATATTGATTTGAGGTCATCGTTATTTATCAAGGAGCCCTGGTCATGCGATGGTTAAGCATTGGGCTTCTAACTGAAAGGTCAGAGGTTCAAACCCACTAGCTCATGAGCTTCACCATCTAGAAAGGATGAGGCTGTCATCTACAATAAAGAGCGTTGGAAACCATGTGGGGTCGTTCTACTCTGTCCAATGTAATTGCTATGTGTCGGGACCAATGCAGCACAATGTTGTTGTTTTCTATTTAGTTTCATATTTTGACATTTTACATTAAACAAATTTGTTTAGCTGCTGTTATTTTAAATTTAGTTAAAAGCAAAGGCAATCTTGCCTAATTCTAGCCTTTTCTTTCTTCTTCTTCCTACTTTTTTTCCCTTTCTTCTCTCCTCTGTCTCTTCCTCTTTTTTACACCATTCTGCCCTCTAATTTTTTTTTTTAATTTTCCCTGTCCTTCCTGAATTTCTGCCCCTTGACCTGCAGCTAAGCAGATTTCTCAGCTCTTTAATATAAAGCAAGATAGATTAGAATCAGTTTTTGCCTTCAAAGTTCTATGATAACTTAAAAAATTATTGTATAGGCATTTGTTAGAATACGATAGCCACTTGCCTGTGAATCAGAAGGTCCATGGTTCAAGCCTGCCAGTCACTCCTTGGGAGAAAGATGAGGCTTTCTGTGAAGATTTAAAG